AGGTCTTAGCAACAGTTCATGGTCTTAGTAACAGTTCATGGTCTTAGTTACAGTTCAAGGTCTTAGTAACAGTTTAAGGTCTTAGCAACAGTTCATGGTCTTAGTAACAGTTCATGGTCTTAGTTACAGTTCAAGGTCTTAGTAACAGTTTAAGGTCTTAGCAACAGTTCATGGTCTTAGTAACAGTTCATGGTCTTAGTAACAGTTCTAGGTTTTATTAACAGTTCATAATCTTAGTAACAGTTCAAGGTTTTATTAACAGTTCAAGGTCTTGGTAACAATTCAAGGTCTTAGTAGCAGTTCAAGGTCTTAGTAACATTTCATGGTCTTAGTAACAGATCATGGTCATAGTAAGAGTCGTTGCGTAACTTGGAAGTTAAGAATTAAAGTCATCAAATAAAGAACACAGCAAGCAATGACTGCAATAAATAAATTATGTATCAGAAAATAATGACATTTTATCGCATCTAAGAATGACATCAAGAATGACATCTCATCTAATGTAATACAAAAGTTATTCAATTTTAATTAAAAAAAATAACTAACTTCGATGATAAACTACTTGTTCCGAGGGAGGGAATTATCAGGGGGAATTACTAAGCCATTACTACTATATAACCCTTGGAAGGGGTCAGGATAAGGATTTGGGATGGGACGAAGGGAAAGGAATGGTGCCCAACCACTTGGATGGTCGGGGATTGAGCGCCGACCTGCGTGAAGCGAGACAGTCGCTCTACCGTCCAGCCCAAGTGATTGGGCCCACCTGTTAAGAGCACTTTAGTAAACACCCGATAAAAGATATCAGTGGGTTGTGTTATCTGTTAGTGGTAGATATCTCTGGTTCCCGGGTGATGCACGAAGATATTGTCTTACTATTTGTCTACAGAGTCCAAGTCTAAATATTCATGACTGACACTGAATATGAGACATGTGGTTGTGTGTTGTGTGTGTGTTGTTTGTTGTGATAGCGGGACATAGTTTTAAAGCTTCGTCTTAGAGCTTAGTAAGTAATTCTTAACTCTAAGCCCCTTCTTAACCCCTAAGTCATTTGCTTCTTATCCCTAAGCTCTTTACTTCTTAATTCTAAATTCTCTACTTCTTAGTCCAAAACTCTGTACTTCTTAACCCAAAGCGCTTAATTTACCTTAAACATTTTATTATTAATTAATTTCTCCTGTGTTATTTGAATATAATTCAAATTTGAATTATTTTAATTAAAAATATATTTCTTATATCTTAAGACGTATTATTGGAAATCTTAATGTTCATTAGCTCACTCCCCTCTTAACGCAAGTCCATTAACTCACCCCTGAAACTCCTACATCTCAGATCCTACAGTTATCAAGGTACTACGGAACCTTCAAAATTACTCATTTTCATTTTCATCCTAAGTCAGGGTGGGTATTGGGACGGAGTATGATGAAGCTGTTCACTCACCCTCCTCACACACTACATAAAACCCTTTTTTTGGGCGGCCTGTAGCTACCCCCTCTCTCTCGCTTCCCGTCTTCTCCCTTATTATTCCATATCTTTATTGACCAGACCATACACTAGAAGGTGAAGGGATGATGACGTTTCGGTCCGTCCTGGATCATTCTTAAGTCGAATTGTCACAATCAACTTAAGAATGGTCCAGGACGGACCGAAACGTCGTCGTCCCTTTACCTTCTAGTGTGTAGTCTGGTCAACTTACTTTAGCCACGTTATTGTGACTCATCGCCTCCATATCTTCATTTTCCTTTTCCATTGACCTTTCCAATTATGCTGTCCTCTATTCTCTTCACTTCAACCCTTTCCATCTTCCTTCCGATTGATTGATGAAGATTAAGCCACTCCAAGAGGTGGCGCGGTCATGAATAGCCCGTAAGTGGTAATTTTATTTTTTTAGTAAATGTCTTTCATTCCAGGAGATATTGAAGTAGTGGCTTTTCTATGATTGTGTGGCTGAAGAAGCATTCCCTCAGCCTGGGGTTCACCACTCTCCCAGTTATCTTCCATCCTTTCAATTTGCTTACAAAGGTTCACTTTCGCACTTCACCGACCCTTCTCGAGGTACTGAATATTCTTAAGTCTGTAAAAGATAACAATTCTTTTTCGCAGCCTTTTCACGCTATCCGTTATTCTCTACATCCTTCACTCTGTCTCTCTTCCCGTCCAATTCTCATTTTGTTCACTCTGCTTCTCCTTTCCTCACAGTATATCTCTCTCCGTACGTGTCTCTCTGGTCCACACTCTCCGCCCCTGGGAACGGGGCGGCCGCACGCCAGGACACGCATTGTTACTAATCCAACCAATCTTGGTCCCGCGGGAGGAAAGGTAACTCTCTGGAGCAGTAATGGCCTCCACATCACAAAACTTCATTCTTAGTTACACGAGGAGAAGAAAGTTCCCAAGCATAGAAGGTTCCATAAACCTCTTTGTGTTGTGATGTTGATATTTCCAGAGTAACCTGACAGGCGAGAAGTTATTTACAAGCGTCTACGGCGCCTTTAACGTGTTCCACAAGGCTTTGTTTCAGAGAAGGAGGGAGCCACGGTAATGAAGGAGCGTGTTGAGGTGGGGGTCTGGACTACCTGCCGCTGACCACCGTTCAGGCTGGAGGTGCAAAAGGCCCCCACAAAGGGTACCCAGCTTGGTCGAGGCGAGCCCGTGATGTGCGAGGGAAGTACATTGGTGGTGGTGGGGGGTCGGTCGGGGTCTTATGTAAAGTGGTAGGTGGAGAGAGGCGCAGGTGTGGGAGGGACTCAGGTGTGGGAGGGACTCGGGTGTGGGAGGGACTCGGGTGAACCGGGACCGGTGGTGGTAATAGTAGGAAGGTGCAGTGAGGCGTGTGAGGGAAGAGTAGTGTTGTACGGGGGTCCTTACCTTGCCTTGATTTCGGGGATCAACGTCCCCGCGGCCCGGTCTCTAACCAAGCCTCTTTGGTTGCTGGACTAGTCAACCAGGCTGTTGGACAACACTTAGCTCATCGTCCATCGCGTAGTCTCGTGTTCTTAGAGCTTGACAACATCTATATTCCTGACCAATCGACTACCAGGATCATCAGGATGCGTCTCCTGATATTAAGGAGACCCTGAAGAGACTGGTTACAAAGTAAACTTTCACTGTGCATAAGCTGAGACGTCCACCTCACAATATACGTACCTTCCGGTTATCTTGAGGTTATCTTGAGATGATTTCGGGGCTTTTTAGTGTCCCCGCGGCCCGGTCCTCGACCAGGCCTCCACCCCCAGGAAGCAGCCCGTGACAGCTGACCAACACCCAGGTACCTATTTTACTGCTAGGTAACAGGGGCATAGGGTGAAAGAAACTCTGCCCATTGTTTCTCGCCGGCGCCTGGGATCGAACCCAGGACCACAGGATCACAAGTCCAGCGTGCTGTCCGCTCGGCCGACCGGCTCCTAAGAAAGTTCTGACGATACCTGAGGACCATTCTAAATACAGTCTTGGAGTTTCCAGCCGCTGGGCACACTGTACGGGCGCTGGCTGGCATCAACAGATCAATGATTCTCTGCCAAAGGATCCAAGGCCAGGTCCTCTTTATACAGCTCACCTGCTTATACAGAGCTCTGGTAGTACAGAATGTTGGTGGTAGGTACAGAGCTCTGGTGGTACAGAGCTCTGGTAGTACAAAATGTTGGTGGTACAGAATTCTGATAGTACAGAATGTTGGTGGCACAGAGCTCTGATAGTACAGAATGTTGGTGGTACAGAGCTCTGATAGTACAAAATGTTGGTGGAACAGAGCTCTGATAGTACAGAATGTTGGTGGTACAGAGCTCTGGTGGTACAGAGCTCTGGTAGTACACAATGTTGGTGGTACAGAGCTCTGGTAGTACACAATGTTGGTGGTACAGAGCTCTGGTAGTACACAATGTTGGTGGTACAGAGCTCTGGTGGTACAGAGCTCTGGTAATACACAATGTTGGTGGTACAGAGCTCTGGTGGTACAGAGCTCTGGTAATACACAATGTTGGTGGTACAGAGCTCTGGTGGTACAGAGCTCTGGTAATACACAATGTTGGTGGTACAGAGCTCTGGTGGTACAGAGCTCTGGTAATACACAATGTTGGTGGTACAGAGCTCTGGTATCACACAATGTTGGTGGTACAGAGCTCTGGTAATACACAATGTTGGTGGTACAGAGCTCTGGTGGTACAGAGCTCTGGTAATACACAATGTTGGTGGTACAGAGCTCTGGTGGTACAGAGCTCTGGTAATACACAATGTTGGTGGTACAGAGCTCTGGTGGTACAGAGCTCTGGTATTACACAATGTTGGTGGTACAGAGCTCTGGTAATACACAATGTTGGTGGTACAGAGCTCTGGTATTACACAATGTTGGTGGTACAGAGCTCTGATAATACACAATGTTGGTGGTACAGATAGTTATCAGTAAACAATAAACAAGAAGGTTTATCAGACTGGTAGTGGTAGTATAGACCACTGGTTGTATAGAATGACCGATTTGAATAAGTCTAGTTGTACACAATGCTGATAGTACGGCGTTCTGATAGTACATAATGGCGGTAGTACAGACAAGTACCGTGAAATACGTATGCAGACTGACTGTGTGTGTGTAGTGAGGATGCACGGTAACCGTGTGCGATCCACGAGATTCGGATTCTGGGGGGACCCCGGGAACTTGGAGAGTCGACCATTGTTCTTCACCCAGGCGGCACTTAACAGTTCCCGTTGGTAGCGATGATACAATTCATCACATACGACAGTTACCTCCGAACGAGAGGTTTGGAGCCGTCGACATGGTTAGGGAGAGACTGTAACACTTGGGAGAGCCGTCTGCCAGTGATTTTTTTGAAACTAAATTTATTTTTCGTTGTAGGCTCGCATGTGGGTCATTGTATGGGCTCATGTGGGTTATTGTATGCGCTCATGTGGGTCATTGTATACGCTCATGTGGGTAATTGTAGGTGTTCTTGTGGGTCATTGTATGCGCTCATGCTGGTAATGACTGGCTAAAAATGTGTGGAAATTAATAGGTGATACACTATAAACCTTCATTCATTAAGAAATCTTTAACGAGCTATATTGCAGAAATAAGCAACCTTCGAAGGTTGGAATATGAAAATGGGATTAAAGAGTAAATCATTGAAAATGAGATTAAATGTGCAACCATTTAACACTAATTTATTGAGAGAGGATGAAGACTGGCTGATGACGTCATCGAAAATTGGGGGATGCCGTACTAATTTGAAATTGAATTTGAACTGGTACTACTGGGGGCCCTGACAGCTGAGTGGACAGCGCTCGGGATTCGTTGTCCTGAGGTTCTGGGTTCGATCCCCGGTGGAGGCGGAAACAAATGGACACTAGTTTCTTTCACCCTGATGTATCTGTTCTCCTAGCATTAAATAGGTATCTGGGAGTTAAACAGCTGCTACGGGCTGCTTCCTGGAGGGGATGTGTAATAAAAAGGAAGCTTGGTCGAGGACCGGGCCGTGGGGACGCTAAGCCCCGAAATCATCTCAAGATAACCTCAAGATATGGTGGTGGTACCACCACCACTACCACCCCCAGCACATGTCTTCACACGACACATATGCATAATACCCAGCTGATGTAATTGAAATACAAAGCTCACAGTAGCAGAAGACAGTGGTCACTCGACCTGTCAGAGGCGGTAGAAACGACCTCCAGCACGACCACGTCACCACGTCACCAGCAGGTGAAGAGAGTAACCAAGTGAAAGTAGGGAAGAGGCTGGTGCGGGAATCAAACCCGCGCCACAGAATTACGAGTCCTGCGCGCTATCCACCAGGCTACCAGGCCCCCTAAGTACTTACCTATCAGTGACTGCGGGGAAGCAAGCTCTAGCTCTTGATGCCCCGCCTGTTAGCCTTGCTCTATGTACACTCAGTCGACACTGCAGTTCCATTTTATAAATGATAAATTTTTCAGCTTACAATATGCTCTTTTGGGTGTTATTGACTCATAACTCGGTGTTTCCACAGGTAATCCGATCCGCTGCCTGCTATCTCACGTATTTCATCTCTACAAAACATATATATATTTTTCCCCATTGGACAACTATTCGTAATTAAAATGTTGTTTTTACGCCCGGCAACCGGGCAACAAGTGTGAATTATTGCTGGCAAATTATGAAAACAAATCGGTCATTAAAGACCCAATTGACTTGTTAATCGTTCTGCCAGCGATTAACGTCTTGATTTGTTAGCCTAAAGCTGCCTAATGACGAGGATTAACGAGACTTTATGCTCGCAATAACAGACATGTTTCCAGAAATACAGAAATATATAACTCGTATTTGTTAATAGTTTTTGCTTGTTATCGTGTGTTTAAGGCTTATTTTTCAGTGTATAAGTTGTGCATAACGTCTGTTTCTGTAGCGTTGTTTATTTACATAGTTGTACTTGCGAGGGATGAGCTACGGTTCTTGGACCCCGCCTCTCAAACCTTAATCGATTGGTGTTAGGTGCCAGAGGTATTGGGCTCTGTCCACTGATTTATTTATAAAGATTAAGCCATCCCAGAGATGGCACGGGCATGAATAGCCCGTATATGGGCTTTGTCGTTGTTGTTGAAGATTAAGTCACCCCAAGAGGTGGCACGGGCATGAATAGCCCGTATATGGGCTTTGTCGTTGTTGTTGAAGATTAAGTCACGCCAAGAGGTGGCACGGGCATGAATAGCCCGTAAGTGGTAGATTGTTTTTTTTTAGTAAATGTATACTGTGGGCTGAGGTCGCATTTAATCGTCAGGCTCCTATCGCGGGGGAGGATACTGCTTGACAGTATTTATGAGGGTGTCCAGCTGCTGGACATCTCTTTTGACCACAAAAGTGGCAGTGTTGATGGCTTCAGGGTGGTTACTGCAAGATTCAGGGACCCTTAAAGCTCTTCTAAGGTCGTTGGTTGCTTCACATTCCAGGAGATAGTGAAGTAGTGACTTTTCTGTGATTGTTTGGCAGAAGATGCATTCCCTCTGTCTTGGTTCACCAATCTCCCAGTTGCATCTGTAACCTAGACGTTGTCAATATAACCGAACTGCTATTTCCCTGTGGATTCCTGTTGGGATATCTAGCCGTTCTAACTTGGTGGTCAGAAGATACCATATTGCAGAGGGCGAACCTTCTGCTACTCTCTAGTGTAGATAGGCTTTGTTGAGGTGTGAGAGTGTTTTGGGGATGGTATTTTTTATGTACTCTAGGCTGGTGCCAATTTAGCAGTTTCATCGGCTTTCTCGTGTAATGGGATTTCAACATGGGATGGGATCTAGTTTAGGGTTACACTGAGTCTTTTACCTTTAGCTACTGCTACCAGATACTGAATGGTGGCAATTATTTCCACGTTGTGGAAATAATTAAAAAAAAGTGGAAAGATCCACTTTTTTTTCCTAATATTTGCAGTGCAGCTTTTGAGTCTGTGTGTATGATTGTTTTTTGGAGTGTTTCGTGCAATCACATATGCGAATGCCTGTTGTATGGCAAACAGCTCAGTTTGGGTTGATTATACTGGTCCTCCCAGTCTCCGATATGACCGTACGCTGTCCGTGCAAAGAGCAGCGCCAGCACTCTCATATTCTGTGTCAACTGATCCGTCTATGAAGATGTGGGTGGCTCCTGCTACTGCAATGCTGCTCATTTGCTTTTCTATGATGCGCCTTAGGATTGTTGGATCATAGGCAGCCTTTTTCATCGGAAGACTTTCTATTACTATTTTGAAGGTAGGCTCCTCCCACGGTGGGGGAACAAGTGTAGTTTGGGTGTTATTGATCACCCCCTCTATCAGGAATCATACTTTTTAATTGTAATCTGTTGGGCTGCAAGAGCGGGATATGTCCTAAAGAGTTTCAGCTGTTTTGGCCAAGTCCAACCACCAAGGCCTGTCGTACTGGGACTGGATCAGGGGGAAGCAATTATCTTGCTGATAATTGTTAAAAAGTAGATAATTGTAAAAAAGTATGATAAAAAGTAGATATTCTTTGATATATTTTCTCTTGTAGAGAGGGCAAACCCTTTTCCAGTCTTAGAGTTTCAAGCCTGGTCCACATGGGGGCTCCCAGGGCAGCTCTCATAGCATTGTTTTGGGCAACTTCAAGTTTTTTCCACTGTTGGTGTGATAGACTTGTGAGTGCAGGTGCGGCATAGTCGATCACTGATCTCACTGCCTCTACATAATATGTGAGAAGGATTTGCAGATTGGCTCCTCCAGAGAGGGAGGCTAAAGACCTGAGGATTGCCGTCCGGGCCACAGTTCTCTCTCTCAAGTGATGTTGACCAGACCAACCCACTAGAAGGTGAAGGGACGACGACGTTTCGGTCCGTCCTGGACCATTCTCAAGTCGATTGTCTCAAGTGACCTCAACATTAAAATATATGTGTGTGTGTGTGTCCAGGATTATTCCTCGATATCGATAAGTGTCCACCCATTCAGTTGGTTGACCCTGTACTGTGAGTTGGATGTTGGGCTTCACTATTTGTATGTGTATGGCTTTTGTCTCTGTGTGGTTGAGTCTGAACCCAATCAGCTTTCCCTCTTCACTGATGTTATCGCTCTTGTTATTGCTTCTCTTACATGTGTGAATTTACACGTGTGAAGTTACATGTGGGATTTAACACTCTGACGTATTTAACATGAAAGAGAAAAACTGTTGACCAGACCGGTCATCGTGTGAACCGGACCTGGTCGGTATGACAGGCAGGCCGACCAGTCGCACCTGGTCGGTATGACAGGCAGGCCGACCAGTCGCACTCAGCAGGACAATCTGTATTCTATTATATTTGCTGTATATATATCATAAATTATAATGACTCTCCTGAGATTAATACCTCTTGACTAATGATTCAAAACTTTAAATTAGCTAATCAGTCGGACTAAGCATAGGAAGAGCGCCGTGAAGGTTGAGGGTTGAGAGGATTGTGAGGGGGTTCAAGTTCCAGTTCACGTATGTTTATTGAGACAAGAAAGAAATACATCTCAAAGGGATAGAGTAGCTTAGGCTATTTCTACCCTCCCCCCCCCCCCCCCAACTTCGTGAGGGTCGTGAAATACTCTACTGAGTCATGGAGACAAATGTTATAGAAGACTGCCTTAAGCCACACCAACAACCTTATTGATCAAATGGTTTCTACGGCTTTACCGTGCTTCATACTTATGTCAGAATATGCGCTCTTCAAACTGGAGAAGTTTAGATTTAGGAAAGACCTGGGTAAATACTGGTTCGGTAACAGGGTGGTTGATTTGAGGAATTAATTACCGCGTAGCATAATAGAAGAATGATCACTTGACTGTTTCAAGCGTAGGCTAGACATTTATATGAATGAGATTGAGTGGATTTAAATAGGAGCTGCCTCGTATGGACCAATAGGCCTTCTGCAGTTACATGCATTCTTATGTTCACGGAACTGTACAAGTGGTGAAGCTGTGCCCGGAGCAGCTGTGCCCGGAGCAGCTGTGCCCGGAGCAGCTGTGCCCGGAGCAGCTATGGCCGGAGCAGCTGTGGCCGGAGCAGCTGTGCCCGGAGCAGCTATGGCCGGAGCAGCTGTGCCCGGAGCAGCTGTGCCCGGAGCAGCTGTGCCCGGAGCAGCTGTGCCCGGAGCAGCTGTGGCCGGAGCAGCTGTGCCCGGAGCAGCTGTGCCCGGAGCAGCTGTGCCCGGAGCAGCTGTGCCCGGAGCAGCTGTGCCCTGGGGGTACCTTGTGCTACAGAGATTCATAAGTTCTAGATAATTCTCAATTCATTCTAGGATCCTGGCCAGCATCACCCCTCAAAGGAGCTTCTTTTAAGTACTCTCGTCCTCGCCGCTTCCTTCTTCCAGTTCTTATCTTACGTCTTGTATCTTCCTCTTTCTCTCCATCACCTCACAGTACCTCGTGAGGGAGGGGGGGGGAGGTGCAGGACCGCCTCCCTCAGACTCCCTCACAACTATGTGGAGGATCAATAATTAATATGAACGTCACTTTCCCCCTCGTAGGTCCCCTCCTTCCCCCTCACTCGTCCCCTACCCCCCCCTCCCTCAAACGTTCCCTTCTCCTCACCCCTTCCCCCTCACAGCTCTCTTTCCTTCCTCTCAAAGATCCCCTTCCTCACGGTTTCCCTTCCTCACCCCTCACATATCCCTTCCATC